GTTTGTCTGTTACTCTGTTTAATTATATGCTACACACGATAAAGTATGTAGATAGTTGCTCGAGACTTTTTTATTATATATAGTTGCGTATATAATGTCACAATTCCTTGTCTCACTTAAGTGCATATACCGATTTGGGGTTTTGCGGTTTTGGCCGGTTTTAGCGGTGAAATAAGTCATGCAGTTTCCACCGTTTTGCCATATCGGAGCGAAGATGAATCCAGATATAAGTGTTCACTATATCGAACAAAACAATTATAACATATATAACAAAAAGCAAGAACATTCACAAGAGCTAGAATGACAAAGAATAATTTAGATCTATTTCGTTCAGAATCGCCACATTTTCCACAATTTGCCCGGGTAAGCTTTCCATGCACTACAATCAAGTCCGGAATTATTTAAATTTAAATATTCATTCTCACCAGGCCTATAAACCGATCTCTCAATCACACAACTTTCTCATCTCTTTTTTGTTACGAAAACCACCCAAGTGCGGTCTCTTTGCTTAAAAAAGATCACGGCACCGCCCACAAACGTTTCGAAATGTCGCTCACAGACATAAAGAAATTTCAATGCGATTATAGCACGTTAATTTGATTTTAATATATAGCCGACATATTTTTTAAGCTTCTGTAGTTTGAATTGGTGAAGATTGATATCCATTTATAAAAATTCAAACTTGAAATTGCTTGAAATATTGAAACTAAACGATATTGACTTTGCTACTTAAAATCAAACGTGCTAGCCGACGACATTGAAATTCCTTCATTTGTGTGAGCGACGTTTGGAAACGTTTGTGGGTGGTGCCGTGATATATTTTTAAGCAAGGAGACCGCACGTGGGTGGTTTTCGTAGTATTTTTTTCCGTTTGGGGGACCAAATTGAGCTTGAGCCATTCCGAATTTTACACATAACGTTATTATTTATATAGTACATATAGTATATAGTATATATATAGTATATATAGTATATATATATATATATATATATATATATATATATATATATATATATATATATATATATATATATATATATATATATATATATATATATTTCTTTGCCGAGCGTGCGTCGTATCGTAATGACGCATTGGCAGTCGTGCGTCTCGCTTATTCAGACGCTCCAACACGCCCCTGTAGTCAATGCCGCTTGGTTAAAAATAACGATAATTAACTAAAGTGGGTTGACACTTCCGTTCGCTTCCAAACACTAATGGAAATTAAATTAGAAATGATATTGCAGATAAACTTCAAATAAAAATATCAACCACTTGTGAACCAACATCTAAAACAAAAATCGCAGTATAAGTTAGCTTTAATATGGGTTAAATGATTACACTTGGAATATATAAAGTAAAGCGGAAATGAAAATTTAACTCAAACTCGAAACTAATAAATACCCCGCCATTCATTATGGTAAATTGATTTTTTTTACTGATAACATTTTTGTCGGCGTATATTGTTCTGTATATGTTTTCTAATACTGTGGATATCCCTGTTATCAATAATTTTAATGCTGGCGTAATCCCTGCAGTGTTAGAAGAAGAAGAATAGAAACACACATCGATTAAAGACGGTTCAATTGAATAATAAAACGTTTTGATACAAATCGAAGAAACAAATAATAAATTATGGTAATCCGCCTACAACCTCCTACCCAATACGTCTCTTGACCTTTTTCACAATAAATATCGTTAGAAAGGTCAACGGGGAAGGGTGGGCGGGGGGGGGGACGAGGAGCTTGTCGGGAACAAGTTCGTGACGTGATAATTAGGAAAAGCTTACTAATATATATAATATATATATATATATATATATATATATATATATATATATATATATATATATATATATATCGCAATGGTCTGGTCAAAATTATATTTCAAATTTAATTAAGGAAACGAAAACAACTATGATTTTAGATATCTTATTGTAGTTTCCGAAAACTTTACCGGACAGGCCGACAGGGAAATTCGCACACGTTGCATGGCTCTGCAAGTCAAGGGAGTGTGTCTATGGTTTTTCAAATTCTCTTTATTTCAATTTGCTTTACAAAATATATAAACAATCTGCAACAATTCGTTTCGATCTTTAAAAATCTACAACAGCTCTACAATTCACAATCACGATCCCATCATGCAAATTAATCAAGTCTCAAGTCAATCTCAAAACATTCTGAATATATGTACTATACAACTCTTTTATAAGATTTTTTTCTGTGTTGGTGTTCTCATGTGAATATGATGTTTGTTATGTTACACTGAGTGTATATCCACACCGGGCGAGCTTGAAAAATATGCCCGGCCACGGTGGGAATCGAACCTACGACCTTTGGAATGCTAGCCCAATGCTCTGCCAACTGAGCTACGCGGTCAGGTCGGTTCGAGTAAGTGTTATTTTCCGCTGGCTGAGGCACGAAAGAAGCGGAAAATGTTTTCTTACACACTGCTGCGGGCCTGATGAAATCAGGGTGTTACAGGGTGGTGCAGGTTATTTGAGCATATTTTTGTTGTTGCTCAACGTAGCTTGACAGCAATTTTTCGCTCGCGATTTATTTAAATTTATAGAGCGTATTTCACGAAAGCCTATGAATAAACGTAAAAAAAACAACAGAAAGGTTATCGAGGGCATCAACTATTTCGCTGACCTCAGAATGACATTTCGTCAAAACTTTTCTCTTCAAGATTGATTTGGAAACAAATTTGGAGTAGGGTTAGATTAGGGTTAGGGGAAGGATTAGGGTTATGGTTAGAGTTGGTGTTTGGAGTAGGGTTAGTGTTAGTAAAACCGTTGCTTTGTTACGTTTTGTCACTTTGAGGCCACCGAAATAATCTCTTCCGTTATCGAGGGCCTTAAAACGGCTCGAGGCGCATTTGGTTAGCCCAAGTAACGAAGAAAATTTTCGCGGCCATGTGGTCCACTCGTCAACAGAAGACAGCCCAGCTGAGAAAAAATATGCTGGTATACTCGTCGCAGTGTAAGCGAAAGTGAAGAGCGCCGAAGATCAAAAAGTCCTTCGTGTAGATCGAAATCTGGTGGTCGAAAGAGGGGAGATCGAAGCCGTAGCTCAGTCGTCGAAGCGGTAGTAAGAATTTGCGTGAAGAGAATCGAAGCTGTTCGCGGTCTCGAGCAAGAAGTACTCTAAGAAAACATTCGCGCCGGTCGCATTCGACGTCCAAGGAACCGCCAGCGTGGGCAAAAGAACTGTTTTGTCAACAACGACAAAACGCGGACGAGTTGAAAAAGTTGAAATCGCAGATTACGAAAAAATCAAACGAAGGTTCTCCGACAGCAGCAAAGGACGCCGGATATAAAAAGCAATACGACATCAATCAATCAGTCATTCAAAGAATGGATTGCGCGCTGGCCTCGGATGACCTGGATGGATCGGAGTGTCAATAGAAATCAGCGCAGGTAGAAGCTTACTGATGGAACGAAACAAACATCTGTTACTTGCTGATAAATATGGATGGGACACTGTTGAATGTTATTCAGCTGAGACTTTAGCTAGTGATTATGAAGATGAAAAACGAATAAAGAGGGCAGTAAAAGAAAGCAAGTCGTTGCGGAATGAGAAGAAAGCGAGAAGCAGCTCATCAACAAGGAGGGCAGTTGAAAGTCATTTGTGACAGGTTGTCTGGAAATTCATACCTACAATGGCATATTCATCTCAGGTCATTCTTGAATAATGTATTAGGTGTGATGCTTTTCGAGCTGCAGGCTCTCCAAGTACGATGTGAGTAATGTTTTAGTGGGAGGTCGTGTGGACCATAGAACCCAGATTGTCGTTTGGACCATTACAAATCTACTGAGGTCGTTTGGACCTGTAGACTAAAGTGCGTTAATTTTAGTGCAGACTATAAACTTTGCTATATGTCCTTTGGACTAGCAAGTGACAGGTTGTGTTGACCACTGAATACTTTATGAGGTCGTCGGTCGAGGACCTGCAATTACTGGGGTATTAGGATTTACACTAGTGGTCGGTTTGACCGGTATATGTTTGAATAAGATCCGCATGGTTGTGTCGATCATGTCATGTACTGAGATGTTTTATCATTTAAGCTGTTTGGGGCTACAGGGGTATTATTATAATAATATATATTTGTTGGTGGACAGAGGATGGTGGATTGCGAAGACAAAGAACAATTATATTGTGGAGTCAAAATTTAACTCTTTACTTTGTAATTCACTGAAGGGCTTGAATCCGGGTTTTTCCATTAATTTTAGTTTATTGTACGATCATCCAGATTAAAATTGTTTTATTATTTCTGACGTTTCGGCTACCTACACGGCAGCCATTATCAAAGACGTATTACAGTTACAAAAAAATTTACAGTTATAATAATGTTATCTTGCGTCAAAAATGGCGTGCGCGTGTTCGTGATGTTGTTTGCTCGCGCCTGCGTTCAAGGCATGAGAGCCTGACCCATCAACAAAATATTCTAAACCTTTTGTGAACAACGTAATTGAACATTCCCGGAAAACAACACCAACTACCGACGAAACTGAACGGAAGAAGACCATTGCCACCATCCCTTACATCAAAGGTACATCCGAAAGAATTGCAAGAATCCTACGACCTTTCAACATCAGTGTGGCTCACAAACCAACGGTAACGCTAAGAAATACCTTAACGAAAGTGAAAGATCCAACCAGTACAAAGACCCGGATAGGAACAGTATACAAAGTGACCTACGCTGAATGCCCCGCAACTTATTTCGGTGAAACTGGACGTACTCTAGATTGTCGCATTAAAGAACATAAGCGATCAACAGAGAAACAAGACGTGGCGAATAGAATTGCGGTTCATCATATGGAAACAAATCACAGAATTGATTGGGAGGGAGCCACTTGTATGGAGTTTAATGGTTTTGAGGATGAGAGAATGTTCCTGGAAAGTTGGTTTACAAAATGCGATGAAAACAGCATCAACATTTGCCGCGATATGCCAGGAGCATACGCTGGACTAATCGCGCATGAACGCAGGCTCTCATGCCTTGAACGCAGGCGCGAGCAAACAACATCACGAACACGCGCACGTCATTTTTGACGCAAGATAACATTATTATAACTGTAAAATTTCTTTACTTTGTCACAGAATAGGAAGTTATACCAGAAGCGTAACTCGAGCAAATATTTGTCAGCGTTTTTACAAGCGATTCGTCATCAATCACGCCATCCTGGCTAGTACAACCGGCACTTTGTACCTACCAAATCCTGATAAAAACTTCCGGCTGTACTAGCCAGGATGGCGTGGCCTGACGTGAGCGAGTTAAAATTTTCGTGGACGTCAAACAATAAGGGAAACGACTAGAGTTACGCTTCTGGTATAACTTCCTATTCTGTGACTTTGTGTTACAAAAACAATACAGAATGCATAAACTGTGGAATGAAACGAGTTTATCTATTGGTCGAGTGTCGAGTGTCGAGGGTTAAATGTCGAGGGCGAGGGTAAAAAGTCGAGGGTGAGGGTAAAAAGTCGAGGGCGAGGGTAAAAAGTCGAGGGTGAGGGTAAAAAGTCGAGGGTGAGGGTAAAAAGTCGAGGGTAAAAAGTCGAGGGTTAAAAGTCGACGGTGAAAAGTCGAGGGTGAAAAAATAGTCACAAAAAAATACACTGATTAAGGTCAAGTAACCGCTTTGAATAAGGCCATAACGACGTCTACGTGTCTTCTCGGCAGTGTTGTTATATGAGCACTTCTAAACCAAATATAATCAAAACTATAATATGCGTTCCACGCACATATACTTATTATATACGACACGTGGCGTATTCTGCGTTTTAAATGTTCTAGGCCACAGCGTGACTTTGCGTCCTGATGCATTTGCATGCAGCCGTGCAGACAGCAATACAATCAGTTATATATTGTTTATTTTCTACACAAAGTACAGTATATTACATACTAAGCCGGGCTTTTTAAAACAAAGCGCCCTGCTTTAACCGGCAATAAATAAACCGATAATGTAGGGGCAATTAATATCGCAACTTGATATAGCCTAAAAACAAGGTTCTTTGGAGTATACTGTATGCGCTTAATCGGCTAAATTATTATTCCCGCAAAGCAGACGAGGTGTGAAACATAAGCGTAAAATTCCGAGTAGCCTACCTATACCGTTAACTTTTAAGATAGACAGAACTCTTTATAAACAATCCCGCGTTTAAAATAATCGCTGGCCTCAGAATTTAACGCTTTCCAAATTTTCTTGAGTGCACACGAAACAATAGCTTAAAATAGAAGTCAAGTTACTTGTTGTCATCATTGCCAGTCTCGATTTTGTACCATTGTAATATGTCCACAAGCAAATTCGTAAAACACGAATAATAAAATTGAAACTTGGTCAATTTTATGATTGTTATTTATTTAACTAACTAACATGAACAGAAACAGCATCGACAATGACTAATTATATAGGCAGCTAATTCAAAAAAGGTTGTCCTTCGAAAATCTCAAACCTTAAACTCTAAGCGCGCAAAGAGTGATAAGTAATTTCTTTTTAGGGCTTTTGATTGAGTTTTGATTGGTCTGGGAGTTTAAGGTTTGAGATTTTGGAAGGACTGACCTTTTTTGAAACACCTGAAATTAAAGGAGAGGCTACAGGAGAGGCTAACCCTCATCAGAACTTCCAGACCGTACAGCATCGGAATATAATTTGTCTGAAGACATTTTCAGCGAAATTGAAAGCGAAATATCGATCAAATAAATTTTAAGCCAAGAGAGCAGAATGCAAGATGCAAGTAAGGGCTTAGGATATACGAGGCGTGACATCCGCGAAATATGTTTATTCGAGCCAGTGGTTGCGGCATGTCGGATATGTCAATAACCTGATCTGCCAATAAAGGCGAAAACATCGCCCAACGTGTGTGCGTGAAACGCACATTATATAACAATACTGCTGAGAAGACACGTAGACGTCGCTACATGGCCTTATCCGAAGCGGTTACCTGACCTTAATATTGAATTTGTATTTTTTTGTGACTTTTTTACCCTCGACTTTTAACCCTCGACTTTTTACCCTCGACTTTTACCCTCACCCTCGACTTTTTACCCTCGCCCTCGACTTTTTACCCTCGCCCTCGACATTTAACCCTCGACACTCGACACTCGACAAATAGATAAACTCGAATGGAACTCTATGCGTTGTATAGTTCCGGCTGACACTGCAGTAGCTCCCAGCGGTGTGTGAGAAGTGTTATTTTCCGCTCGCTGAGGCACGAAAGAAACGGAAATATTTTCTCACACACTGCTGGGGACCTGAATAAATCAGGGCGTTACAGGGTGGTGCAGGTTATTTGAGCATATTTTTGTTGTTGCTCAACGTGGCTTGACAGTATCCCACCCATCCAGCCCTTTTACGGCTTTGGATTGGGTATATGTACTTGTTATAGTAATTATGTAGCAAGCAATTGTAATGTATGGTAGTTTATAGCCTGCGTAGCAGGCGTTTAGCTGACGGGCGGGAAAAGAGGAAACGCCTGCCCAAATGGCTATGACAAATTTGTTTTCGCCCATTAAGGATTATTGACGTTTTGTAATTAGCACCTTCACTCATTATCCAATCATAGTCGAGATTTATATTTAGCATCATTTTGCTCGGCAACTAGGGAGATTTGCAGAGATTTTATGTACTATTTAAAACATGAGCAGCAGTGTTTTTACGTTTATTCATAGGCTTTCGCCAAATAGGCTCTATAAATTTAAATAAGTCGCGAGCGAAAAATTGCTGTCAAGCTACGTTGGGCAACAACAAAAAAATGCTCAAATAACCTGCACCACCCTGTAACATCCTGATTTCATCAGGCCCGCAGCAGTGTGTGAGAAAACATTTTCCGCTTCTTTCGTGCCTCAGCCAGCGGAAAATAACACTTACTCGAACCGACCTGACCGCGTAGCTCAGTTGGCGGAGCATTGGGCTAGTATTCCAAAGGTCATAGGTTCGATTCCCACCGTGGCCGGGCATATTTTTCAAGTTCGCCCGTTGTGGATATAGGCTACACTCAGAGTAACACCACAAACTTCATATTCACCTGAGTACACAACACCACACAGAAAAAAAATCATATTACTAGATTACATTGGTATCGAATGAACTAGATTCTGTTCCGAAATATCACTTACTCGAACCGACCTGAACGCGTAGCTCAGTTGGGAGAGCATTGAGCTAGTGATTCCAAAAGTCGTAGGTTCGATCCCACCGTGGCCTTGCATATTTTTGGCAAGCTCGCCCGCTGTGGATATACACTCAGAGTAACACTACGAACATCATGTTCACCTGAGTACACAACACCTACACAGAAAAAAATCATATTACTAGATTACATTGGCATCGAAGCAACTATAGATTCTGTTCCGCAATTTCAGCAATATGGCAACCGCAATATCAGCAATATGGCAACAATATAAACA